GGGTCTTCAGTGTACGGATCACCTGCAATAAACTTTATGACGTCACTCTAAGTGGCCAGAAAAGCTGAAGCAGGTTTTATAAGGGGCACAAATGGATCTTTGGATTGCAGACTCCTGGCCAGTTGGTAGAAAATAATTTTTGTTTTATGGGAGTTTAAAATCTGTGAGATTAACCCAAAATGGCCAAAGTCTTCAGCACCTCTTAGCTCACGGACACGCCCATCGACAGGTACGACACGGGCCGCCTGCGGGCCGATCCAGAACACAGAGACATGCTGGACAGCTCGGCCCGGGCGGTGATGGACGCCGCTGACGAGAAGGGAGCCGACGAAATTCTGGAGTGGGAGGTGGACGAGCTCCTGGCCTGGACCAACACGCTCAACTTCGAGGAGTAAGTCCTTCTACTTTGAAAACTCCGGCACATTCGGGTTTCTGTCGGGACGCTTTGAAAACGTCTTCAAAGCTTGTACTTGTACTTGTCTCACCTGCTCAGGTACATGCAGGAGTGGAAACTTCTGGCCTGCAGTCAGACCTCGGAGTGGAGTAAAGGTTAAAAATACTCGTGTTTTTTATGTGTTGGTCCATATTTACGATCAGGACTGAGTAAAGTACGCAAATAAAAGTGTTTTGTTTACATTGAGTGCAGACAAGCATATCTGGAAAACTACCGGAGATAACTTTGTTTTTTTTATTACCATTTACCGTAGATCAGACATGCTTGATTTCATGCTTCGCAATGAGTAGCTTTAAGGCCAACCTTTTTATTTCTTTATCAAACATTCTTATTTTGCAAGCATGTATTTTATTTTGCCTTCCTGTTCTTCTCTCTCCTTCCATTTCTTCTGTCTCCCCCCTGCAGATCGCTCTGTACGTCGTCCATCCATGTTAGGATCAAACGTGTTGCAGGACGAAAGCCTTTAACTTTATCAAAATAAAATCTGCACAGGACGGAGGAGTAAAGAAGTGTTATTTTTGTGTGTGTGATTTGGACTGCTTCTGATACTTAATAATAGTTGCTAAAATAAAAAATAAAAAAACAGATTATGCTCGGTTGTGTTCACTTTTTAAGCACTCCACAAGACCACAAAGAAATAGCAGTTTTAATTATTCTGTATGAAACAAATCCTGTCAACAAAAGCAACTTTTCTTTTGTATTTTATTAAATGTGTACAATTAGTTACACTAAAAATATTAGGAAGCTAAATAAAAAGAGGGGGCACCCGGATTTGAACCGGGGACCTCTTGATCTGCAGTCAAATGCTCTACCACTGAGCTATACCCCCGCGATAATAATGTTGTGCAGATTTTCATATTTGTTATTACTTTTCCATCATCAACCGTGCCTGTTATAATTTTTATATATGCTGATGAATAAAATAAGTGAGTGTTAGATTTATCGTGGTATTTTAGCATTTAGCTCTATAGCATTGCGCTGTCTTCATTAACCGGATGTGACGTTTTCACAGCGAAAGATGTAACAAAAAAATTCTAATTTGTAATTTATTTAACCCATCTTCGATATATATACCAGATATAAGAGTTCAGTATATATTGTAAAAAAATGAAAGAGATACTAAAAACTAAAACGATAAATGACAGCGATAGATTCACGTATTTATTTGTGGTACTTTTGCGTTAGCGTTATGCTATCGGCTTACACCGGATGTGACGTCTTGGAGAAAGCGGATATTCTAGTGTGTCAAAAAGGAAAGCATAAGGAACTGGATCATAATGGTATGGGGATTTTTTTTTGTTTTCTCGATAAGAACCGTATTTGAAACTCTTTGACTTGTTTCATTTAAACGTAAACAAACGTATCTAAATCCTCCAAGGTTTGTTTTTGACTGCACGCGCAGTGAAGTCGCTCTGTTTTGAATTTGATTAGTCACTCGAGCTAATGCTAGTTAGCCATCACGCTAGCAACGGAGATGAGCTTGGATATGAAGTCAGCTTTAAAGTGCGTAAGTTATATATGCTGTGTTTTAAAATGAGCCGATTTTTAAGACGTGGGATGTTTTGTGTGGGACAGAACAGCCGAGGACTCCGCTCGCAGCTGAAGGACAGCGTCCCGGTGGCCGGGCTGAGTCCGCAGGGAGCCTACGGGGTGCAGGACTCCCTCCGCAGCGGGTGAGAGAAGCAGCTAAAAGTAGCGGTGGCACAACAGATGTGTGTGACAACACCTGCATTTAATTTGAATATCCTTTTAACAGCTTCACCAGTGTGAAGAATGAGCTTCTTCCAAGCCACCCTCTGGAGCTGTCAGAAAAAAATGTAGGTTGTATTTTATTTTTTAAAGTGGAGCTTCCTCACACAGCAAACTTCAACTCAACTTTATTTTGGTAAATTTAAAACATTACAAGAACCTAAAACAATATAAAATGGTAAATCAATCATTTACCAAAAGAGGAGTAGGCTGAAGTCGAGGCTTATACTTGCCTGGCCTGTTCATAGACTCAGTAATGACAGATATTACTGTCCACACATATAAGTACACACATGGACATTTACTGTATATTTAAATATGTCTGTATATAATGCATGGTTACACAACACATATATACATCTACATAAAAGTATAAGCTTTTATAATTTTACATTTTAAGGCTTTTTTAAAGCTCACCAAAAAAGCACAGATTTTGAGATAATCATCCAGTTCATTCCAGTTTCACGCCGATAACTGAAAAACATCTGGATTTTACTTTACTTTTCTCTTTGGCTTGTTCAAATATTAACAAACCTTGTAAATTATATTTACTCTCTCTTAACTTAAATAATTTCTGAATTCCAGAAGGAAGACTTTTATTCAGTGCTTTTTACATTATTTCCAGTATTTTTATATAAACAGTATCGTTAAATTTAAAGTATTACTTTGAATAAAAAGTTTATTAGTTGGTTCACAATAGCCCTTGTTATTAATAAGCCTAATGGCTTCGTTTTGTAACTTTATTAATACGTCAATAGTTGTTTTATTTGCATTTCCTCGTATTTCTGATCAATATGACAAGTAGGGCAGAGCCAAGGAAGCCTTTTACATTTATTAAATCTTTTATTTTAAACAATATTCCAATAGTTTTTGCAATTTTATTTCTAATATATTCAATATGAGGCTTCCAACTAAGTTTATTGTCCAGAATATTTAAAAATTTTGTCTAATTAATTTGTTGATTTCAGCTCCATTTATATTTAACTTTATATTATTATAAATCCGATTACCAGAAAATAACATAAATTTAGGGTTTCTTTCCATTTAAAGATAGCTTATTAGAATCTATTATTATTATTTAAATAATATAATATATGTTATAGCGCATTATAAACTAATCATGTCATGTTGATGAGTTGTTCTTGTCATCGTGAGGAGTCTGAGTGTTTCTGTGCTGCAGTTCCAGCTCAACCAGGACAAGATGAACTTCTCGACGCTACGAAACATCCAAGGTCTTCACGCTCCTCTCAAACTGCAGATGGAGTTCAGGGCGGCGAGACAGGTGAGACTGCACCCCCCCCCCACCATCCATGACTTCTCCCCGTTTCCTCTGTTTCCTTTTCGCGCTGATGTCTGCTGTCTTTCCAGATCCAGCGCCTGCCTTTCCTGCGGAGTTCAAACCTGGCTCTTGACACGCTGCGAGGGAGTGACGAGTCCATCGGGTTTGAGGACTTCCTCAACGGTGAGGGCTTCATCCTCCGTCGGCTACGCCGTATTTTTCGCCGTACTTGTCGTAAAAGTCTCATCAGTCCATATTTGTCTAATAAAGTGGAAAAATCCATAAACATGTCGCTTCGCCGTATACATCGCATCTATTATGCGTCACTGCTGAGAACCTGGAAATGTGGACTGGTGTTGTGCCATCCAGGACATGGTAAATTTAAAAAAGTTCAAGAAAAAAAACAAAGTTTTTAAAGTAAATTACAATAAAGTCCCGTTGTTTTCGTCTTGAACTTTGTTGAATTTGTCATTATAGCTGCGTTTATCTATTACATGATACAACAGCATGCCATATCACTATTAATACTCTGCTGCCATCAAGTGGCTGAAAGTGGTACCACACTTTTTTCTATCAATGAATGAAAACGGTCATATTTCATTTAAAAAAATGGTTTATAAATATGGGAAAAAAATCATAAACATGTCGCTTCGGCCTGTAAGTCGCAGGGCATGTAAATTCTGCAAAAAACTGCAGCTTATATGGAGAAAATACGGTAATCGTGTTTAGTGAGTGGCACATGAAGCTGTTGATGCCTAACCACCTGGTGGTGTTTGTCTCCACAGATCCAGCCCAAAGTGAAGTGATGGGCGAACCACACATGATGGTGGAGTACAAACTGGGACTGTTGTGAATTTAAACACGCACAAATATACATGAATATTTAGGTTGTTCTCTGTGTATTTTTGATGATTGGTTCCATAAACAGACATTAAAACAGATTTTGGAGACTCTGTCAAATGTTGTTGTTGTTTTTTTTGACCAGATGAGCTTTGTGTGATATTTGGTTGATATTTCTAATAAATTCCAAAACTTCTCATGGTGTGCCTTTATTTATTTTTTAAACTGATCCTCACGGTCGTCACCAGGAATAATAAAAACATTGTGCCATTAAATGTGGCTGTGTCTGATAAACAACCAAATAAAGTGTTTACAGTTTTATAACTTGCAGAAATTTAAAGAATATGAAGGTGAGGGGATTTACTGTGTCAACGCCTGGTGACAACATTGTTTTTACTTTTAAGAGCTCAGTTCATAGAACTAAATATCCTTATTTTTAGTAACTTGAATTATTTAAACATCGAGCACACAAGGATTAACCTGTATAAAGGTTGAATGAATTAATGAGGTTTTATTTTTAAGCAAAACTTTTGTCAAGATTCAGCTGTTCGAGACTTTCAAGTTCGAAAACTTTGAGGGTTTTTGATTCCCATCTATTCTGTATAAAATTTGGGTCTGCTGCAGCTGCTTGTGTTTTTAATGTGTCTGAATTCGTGTAGTTTGGTAATATGGTTAAAAATGTAATTTATTTTCTAAAACAGCAAAAGGCTAGTCAAGGTCGACGGTGAGGAAGGGCAGAGAAGAAACTCAGAGGTTCTGTTACTCACTGTAGCAATCAATTGAAATCTCACCGCCATCGGACCAACCGGGTGTACACCGTGTCCCGTCGGTTTATAAGGCACTATTTCCTAAATTAAATTAACTTATGGTTACTCACGTTCTTAAATATGTGACGTCGAAAGCAGTTTAAATTCTCTACGGAAATTTTAAAGAATTTTTTTATAAATAAACAAAAACACTGGATTTATTTAGTTTAAAACGTTCTATTTGTTCTAGAGCATGCTGGGAAAAAAATCACGTGACATGAGTAGCTTCGCGACAACGCGCATGCGCTCTCTAAACAACCCGCAGCTGCGACGTTTCGGCTGAAATATTCCAAACGCATTTTAAATTATCACGCTGTTTTTGTTTCAACAGCTCCTATAGCAATTTTACTTATAAACAGGAGCAGAATTAGCAGTTTCTTGGACTTTTAAAGTGATTTTTTATCAATTCCACTGAGGTTGGACTAGTTTAAACTCTTGTTCACCTCATAAACCTACTATTATTATCAGGCTTGGCTATCGGTCGGAGAAGAGCTGTTCATCCTTCGTAATGGCCGCCTTGCTTTTATCTTGAGAAAGAAGAAGATCATCAAATTCACACGAGGTAACATTAAAGCGCAAATGTTTATTTTTGAGATGTTTATGGAAGAACCTTAATAACACGAAAACCTCCAACTAATTGCAAAAGCGGTTATTCAATTTTGATCTCACTCGAGTCTTTTTAAAGAACGCTTAAAAAGTTCAATAAAGTAAAAAAAACGCTTAAATTGAGACTTTTACAAATGTCTCCTGCGGGGGGCGGTAGCACGTTGAAGCGTCGTCACTTCCGAAAACGGTAGAAGAAGACGAAGGAAAATTAAAAACGCAGAAGAAGAAAAAACGCAGAAAAACAACTTTCAAGGTAAATATCTACACTTTAGTTTTTTTTTAATTTTACAAAAACATTTCCTACTTTAATAATATTAGAATGGGCTTTTATTAATTGTTTTTTATTTGCTTAATTTTGAACAAAACCTATTGCTAATACTAATCGCACCATTTTTATCCTAGCTATGCTAAGATTAAATAAAACTATTTATTTTGTTGATGTTGTGACTTTTGTTGTTATTATGATCCGAGACGAAACATTTTGTTTTTGATGATGAGTCAATGAACGAGTAAAATAATGAACGAGTAAAATGTTCCAGTAGTTTATAAGACAGAGTTGATTCATTAAGTGAATTTGTAGTTTTTAGACAACCTGTTTCATATCAGTGCATCCAACTTGCTTCAGGATGTTGCTCAGTAATTTGTACGTTCTTGTTTGATTTTTATTTATTTATTCTGGCAGATGTGACCCCTCATACTGTGTGATTATTTGCTATAGTTAGTGTAAATGTAATATGAACTAAATGTTTTTGTGCATCAGTGTTTGATTATGGAGCTTGATCTGAAGCGTCATAATGAACTTGACTAACCCGGCAATGACTAAATATCACAAGGCACATGAAAGTATTTCTATTTAATGTCAGTTTGATTTATTTAGCACATTTAAAAACAACAGTGTTGATCAAAGTGCTTCACAAACAGGATAAACCCACAGTAAAATAAAAGACCAGTCGGTAATAAATCCACGAGTAAACTACGATGGGCTAAAAACAAACCAAATAGCACAACTACAAAACTTCTGATGGCACCTAAACAGAACTTGAATTAAAAGCCAGAGTAAAAATGTGAGTTTTCAGACGGGATTTAAAAGACTGAACTTACTCTGCAGTATGGAAATCGAGAGCCAGGCTGGTTCTGAGTCCGGGGGTCCGATCCCTTGAGCTTTAATTTAGCCCTCGGCTGCACAAAGAGCGTCTGACTGGAGGATCTCGGTGCTCTGTGCGTTATAAAAGTGCAAACGATCTATTAAATATTGTGCTGAGTCATTTAAAACTTAAAAAGTGAATAAAAGAATCTTAAAGTCAACACAAAAGTGAACGGGGAGCAGGAGGGATGTGGTCATGTCTTCTGGTACCTGTCCAGATGTGCAGCAGCGTCCTGGACTAACTAGGCGATGGCGTTTTTAAAGTAGTTTCAACGTAATAAGCGAAGGAAAACTTGTAACTTGTTTAACAGCTAACACTTCAACGTGTCCCAGTCAGATTAAAAACAGGTGCATTGATATTTTTCGCAGACATTAGTAATTATTCCCCTCGTTTATAGTTGACCTTGAGGCTTCGTATTCAGCCTGTGGGAGACTTTGAGTTCTGGCCGGGTTGTAGGATGACCCAGGAATAAATCAGTCCTTCTTTGGATTTTAATTGATCGGTTGTCTCCCTGCGTTACAATAAAACTTAATTTTTTTGGAAATGCACAAGCTTACAAAGTCTTTGGAAAAAAAATCCAAAGATAACACAATTATTCAAGCTACTACTTATGTCCTTTAAATTAAATAATTGTAAGCCATATTGGTGACCAGATGTCAGCTGCCACGTGTGTTTGTTTACCTACTAAAGCAGCCGAAGTGACTGGAAATGGATCAAACTCACCAGCCATATTTGATGACCTTCACCTTGTGCTCTTCTTTCAGGTTAATCTTGAGAATCAACCCTGATGGCAGCAAAAAGCCAGTTGAACACATGCAGCCTCAAATATATGCAACTGACTCTTTTAGTAAGTGGTGCTAAAGGTTCTAGGATGTCCTAACTTGGCCCATTAGGCTGGATTGACCAGTACTCAGAACAATGGGAAAGTCTAAGGAACTC